CCCACCAAATGTCATGTTAAAATGTTATCCCCAACGTTGGAGGTGAGGTGTTTGTAACATGAGATAAGATCCCTCATGAATAGCTTGGTGCTATCATGTAATGAGTGACTTCTCACTCTATTAGTTAACAGAAGAACTAATTGTTAAAAAGAGCCTGATACCCCTCCCTTCTCTCTCTTGCCATATGACATGCCAGCTCCACTTCCCCTTCCATCATGATTAAAAGCTTTCTGAGGTTCTCACTAGAATCAGATGCTGATGCCATACTTCTTGTAAAGCCTGCAAAATTATGAACCAAGTAAATCTACTGTCTTTACAAATTACCCAGCCTCAGGCATCCCTTTTTAATAACTCAAACAGACTAAGAGAGTGCTCTTATAAAAGGGGCTGCAGGAACTTGTTTACCCTTCCACCATGTGAGGACACAGAGAGCATCATCTATGAAGCAGAGAGCCCCACTGACACTGAATCTGCTGGTGCCTTGATTCTGGACTCCTTTCAAAACTGTGAGAAATAAATTCCTGTTGTTTATAAACTACCTAGTCTAAAGTTATCTTGTTACAGCAGCTCAAACAAACTATTAATAAAACAATACTACATTCACAAATGAAGGCAAGAAATGCTAAGAGTGATCTGAGAAGCAACAGCAAAAAGTGGTGTAAGAGTTCAGACTATGCTAATCACCCCAGACAAGCACAGAGTTGTACAATCATCTATCCCCTTCTAGAACAGTTTCATCACCTTAAAAAAGAAACCTTGTGTCCCTTAGCTATCACCTCCCAACTCCCCAGCTTCCTCAATCCTAAGGAGCCACAAATCTGCTTCCTGTCTCTAGATTTGCCCACTGTAGAAATTCCATATAAACAGAATCATATAATACATGGAATTTTGTGACTGGCTTCTTTCACTTAGTTTGTTTTCAAGTTTCATTCACACATTTTGTAGCATGTATCAGTATTTCATTCCTTTTATGGCCAAATAATGTTCCATTATATGGATATACCACATTTTGTTTATCCATTCATCAACTGATGGCCACTGGGTTATTTCCACTTTTTGGCTATTATGAATAATGCTTCTGTGAATATTAGTACATAAGTTTCTGTAGTATTCTTTTATAAGGGATGTGAATTTTCATAAAGCTAAATTTATGCAAGTCAAAATACTTTATTTTGAGACAATGTCCTTCATATTTTTTTTTTAAGAGATAGGGTCTCTCTCTGTCACCCAGGCTGGAGTGCAGTAGCCTATTCATAGCTCACTGCAGCTTCCAACTCCTGGGCTCTACTCCTGAGTGATTCTCCAGCCTCAGCCTCCTGAGTAGCTGGAATTACAGGCATGAGACACTAAGCTCTGCCAAACTTTTTTTTTTTTTTTTTTTTTTGAGACGGAGTTTGGCTCTCGTTACCCAGGCTGGAGTGCAATGGCACAATCTCAGCTCATCGCTACCTCCGCCTCCTGGTTTCAGGCAATTCTGCTGCCTCAGCCTCCTGAGTAGCTGGGATTACAGACGGGCACCACCACGCCCAGCTAATTTTTTTGTATTTTTAGTTGAGACGGGGTTTCACCATGTTGATCAGGATGGTCTTGATCTCCTGACCTCGTGATCCACCTGCCTCAGCCTCCCAAAGTGCTGGGATTACAGGCTTGAGCCACCGCGCCTGGCCCAAACTTTTTTTTTTAAATATTAAAACATCCTTTTTAAATGAAATGATGGCAGTATCAAAAAGTAGTTTTGTTAATGTGCTTATTAGGTAAAATAATTATTTAAAATTTTGCTTTCCTGTTAAATCCGAGTCTAACAAGTGTTAATGCAAGAAAATACAAGAAAGTGTCTAAAGAAAACTAAGAAGGTTTTCCCCTGGAGTTGAGATCACATATTGTCAACAGTAGGAGATGAAATACATAGGGCAAAAGGCAGATCTTCTCAGGCTAAGGAATTTGGGGATTATCCCATGGTCAATAAGTAAATTAATAAAGCTGTTTAAATATAAAATTATTGACTCTAAGACATCATTTCATTCAACAAACAGTAACTAGCTACTATTATATAAAAAGCACTGAATTTGGTACTATGAGTGATTCCAAAAAGACCTTTGCCTCTGACACTACCAAAACCACTCCAGATAAATTCCAAAAGACCTCAAATTGCTAAATCCAATTTTTATTTTTCAGTTTTGATCTTACTTGACCTATCAGTAGCATCTGACATAAGTAAAACACTCTCTCCTCCTTGAAATATTGTCTTTCTTTCCTTTTTTATTGAGACAGTTTGGCTCTGTTGCCCAGACTAGAGTGCAATAGCACGATCTCAGCTCACTGCAACCTCTGCCTCCTGGGTTCAAGTGTTTCTTATGCCCAGGCCTCCTTGAGTAGCTGGGATTACAGGTATGTGCCATCATGCCCTGCTAATTTTTCTATTTTTTTAGTAGACACAGGGTTTTACCATATTGGTCAGGCTGGTCTCAAACTCCTGGCCTCAAGTGATCTGCCTGCCTCAGCCTCCCAAAGCGCTGAGATTACAGGCATGAGCCACCATGCCTGGCCAAGATACTTTCGTTACTTGGCTTCTAAGACACCATACTCTTTTGGGTTTTGTTCTTACAATACTAGTGGCTCCTTGGCAATCTTATAAGCTGGTTCTTCCATAGCTCCACAATTTATAACCATTAAGAGTATTCAAGGTTCAGCCCTTGCACCACTTGCATCTCTGGTCTATCTCACTTTCTTAATGCTTTCAGCCTCATGGCTCCACTAGAATGTAGCTTCAACAGGGTATGGATTGGGCTATTTTGTTTATACTGGATCCTCTGCACCTAAAACAGTCCCTGGCATACATACAGTAGGTGCTTGACAAATATTTGTTCAATAAATGGATGGATGAATACATGGCTTTATATATTATTTATAAACTGATGAATTCTCCAATTTACATTTCCTGCATGGATCTCCGTCTTGAGCTCCAGATATAGCCAACTACCTATCTGCTATCTTCACGTGAATGTGTAAAACACATCTCAAACTTAATGATTTAATGAAAGAGAACTCCAATAGACCATCCCAATGGCTTCTCCAACTGGTTTCACTTTCTTAGCAAAGTGTAGCCCCATCCTTTTAGTTTCTCAAGCCAAAATTTTTCTCAAATAGTAACTGAGCTATTTACTACATTAAAAGCACTGAATTTTGGTGCTTTTTATATAGTACCAAACTATAACTCCTTTTCTTTTTCTTCTGAGACAGAGTACTTTGTCACTCAGGCAGGAGTGCAGTGGCGCGATCTCAGCTCACTGCAACCTCTGTCACCTAGGTTCAAGCAAGAACTGAACCTTGTTTCATCCTCAGCCTTCTGAGTAGATGCGATTACAGGCATGCACCACCATGCCCGGCTAATTTTTGTATTTTTAATATTAATAGAGACAGGGTTTTGCCATGATGACCAGGCTGGTCTCAAAGTCCCAGCTTCAAGTGATCCGCATGTCTCAGCCTTCCAAAGTGTTGGCATTACAGGCGTGAGCCACCACCGCCAGCCTAACTCCTTTTCTTTCTCTCACACTACACATCCAATCTGCCAACAAATACTCTGTATTGTGCCTTCACAATATAACCACAATCTGTTTATTTCTCACCACGTCCATAGTTATCGCTATAGTTCAAGCCGTTATCACGTCTCACCTGGATGAGTACCAACAGCTTCTTAACTAGACTTCCTGCTTCTTGTCCACCCCCACTCCCCAATTCAGAACCACAAGCAGAGAAATTATTTTTCAAACTTAAGTCAGATCACACTACTTCTCTGCTAATAATCCTAGAGTTACTCCCATTTCAATCTGGGTAAAAACCCAAATCTTGAAAACTGCTTATAAGGTTCTCTTCGATCTGACCCTAAGTCAACTCTGACCTCATCATCTAATATTTTTCCCTCACTTATTCTGCTCCAGTCATACTGGATTCTTTTGCTCTTCCTTCCAAAGGTCAAGCACATTTCTGCTTTTTCCTTTCCTCTTCCCTTTGTCTGGAATGGTCTTCCCCTAGATATCTGCATCCCACCACCTCCTTCGGGTCTGCTCAACTGGCATCTTCTCTGAGACTTTTCCTCTGATCATTATATTTAAAATGGCAACCCCATCCCTACCCTTGTATTCTTTATTCCTTTACTCTGCTCTATTTTTCTTCCCAACACTTATCACCACCTAAAATACTACATATGTTACTTTCTGCTTGAAGACATGACTTTTTGTCTTTCACTCACTGCTGTATCCCTAGCATTTAAATCAGTGCCTGGCATATGGTGGTAAGTGATCAATAATCTATCTGTCGAGCTAATGCTTTCATGTCCACCAGGGGGCCTAACGATCATGTAGCCCTGTGTTTCAGGAAAAGACTGCAAAGCGTCTCTAAGATTTCTTTCAGTGCTCTGATCCCTAGAAGGACTACATCTTGCCTAGAAAGACAAACTGTGCTTTGTCTTGGCTACCACAAGGAGGAGTTGAGAGGAAGAACTGAGCAGAGAAACCAGATAATGCTGTTTCCCTTGCTTTTCCCACAGTAACCTCAAGGTGGAAGAAACCTGGATTTGGAGCAGGCTGTACTGAATGAATGATGATTCTCCATACTATGAGTTACCTAGACACGAACATAAACAGGAAACACCACAATCCTTTCGAATGCCACAAAGAGGCCAAGGGAATCCATATACAGGCCACTAAGGACAGGAAGGGTGTTTCACAACTCCAGCACTAAGAATTCTCCACAAATCCAGTGGAAGAGCTTCTGATAGCACAGAAAGACACGTAACTCACTGATGAAGGCCGAGTGTTCCAGTACTCTCCGGCCAGAAAACTATTAAGTCAGTTCTACTTAATACTTAACGCATCTACAATACTTAAGCGATATAAGCAAGGCAGTCCCACGTCAAATTTTCAGATTTGACGGATCGCATGGAATTCATTAACATCAGATTTATTAAACACCCCAATCCATTTCCCACGGGCTTGACTCACCGCCACCTGTTGATGCCCACATTGGAGGAGCCGGCAAACCAGGGGTCCAGGATGTAGACGCAGCGGATGGTGTCGGCGCCCTGAATGCACTCCTTCAGGGCGGGGTTGTCGTGGAGCCGGAGCCCCTTTCGGAACCAGTGCACGGCGTTCACTCCCATGCCGGGGGGCGCGGCGATTCCTCTACAGAGAAATTCAAGGAAGGAGGCTCCGGCTCATAGCCAACACCTTCGCTTCCAAGAGAACTGCCTCACCCGGGGAGTCAGGAAAGGGCGGCAGATGGGGGACAGGAAAAAATGACTCCGAGGAGGCGACCGGAGAAGGCGGGGGCGCTGGAGGCGCAGTGGAAAGATGAATGGAGGTTGCCCAGCCGGCAGAGTCCGGGTGTGACGCCCTTTAGGAGTCCGCGCCCGCCACAACCTTCTGGAGGCGCCGCATAACTTCGAGGGCCTCGGACCTCCGGAGCCTGAGCAAGTTCCAAGAGCTCGAGCCGCCACGACGGCCCGAGCCGGCACGGACGCCCCCAGGAGGTTCGTCACGGAAACCTCGCCCAGACCGAGGCGGCCCCTGAGGACAAAACGGCCCGCCCGAGGTGAGTCACCGAGGAGAACCGGAGGGGAATGAGCCCCTGTCGGCGACGCTGTCTCTCGGCCCGAGAGAAAGGACTGGGATGGAGGACGGAGATGGTGGTCGAGGCCCCTGGACGACTGCGGGCCGGTGACCGGTCCCGAGGCTGCCCGGGTGACTCTACCGCCGCCGCCGCCGCCGCGTCAGCGGCCTCGGCCCCGCCCCCGGCTCCTCATTGGACGGCGCACTCACCACGTGACAACCGGCACCTCACGTTTCTGAGGTGTGTTTACTACACTGGCTCGGAGGGGGAAATCTGCTAGCGCTTCAGTCGCTTTTGGAGGAACGGCAGCCGCTTAATCCCAAAACTGTTGACCCTTGCCCACACACTAAGCCCACTACCTCTGCCCCTTTCCTGTGCCGACTGGTGGCTGTCCATCGAAGGCACCCGCGTTGACCGCAGGCCCCTTGTGAGGGAAGACAGCCCCACCCCCGGGGGCCGTGAGCGGCTACCATTGGCCGAGACTCTCTGAGACCCGGATGAGCACGGGGATGCGGGAAGCTCGCGGGCGCGCGCTCTGCTTGAGGAGGCGCGCGTGCGCTTTCGCTGCGTTCCAGAGGGTAAGAGGGCGGGGCCGGCGGGCCGGAGCGCGCTCAGCGATTCCTCCCGTGGGATTTGGGAAAGGCCAGGAGATTATCCGGTGTCCTTCAGGAGCCAATGGTGGAGTCGGGCGGAGAGAGGGGAGGATGGAGTGGAAGGAGGAGGCTCCACCTATTTCAAGTCCAAACCATGTGCTTCAATCCTGCTTTGGCCAGAGAACCCTACTTTGGAGAATGTGGAGCTGTGCCCTCACCCCACTCTCCTGGTCCTTCGATGCCTCACCCTTTTACATGGTCTGGGGAAAAGGGTAATTGGCAGGACAGATGCCAGGCATTCCTGGACTTCCTGGAATTTTTTAATACTAGTGATATGTATCATCAACATATCAGCCCTAATCTCTTACATTTAATGTAGTTTACCAGGCTCTTTGAGACTAGACGTTTGTCTACTTTTACAGTGACAGTGAGCTGCAGGCCATGCCATCCCTTAGATATATGATGCCCTTAAATTCATTCATTGCTTACTTCTTGAATGAACTAGGCACTATTCAAAGCACCAGAGATATGGGAGATACTTAATAAAATAGACAAAAATCCTAGCCCTCCTGGGTTTACAGTTTGTCTCTTAACCTTTGTATGTGCTGTTTTTTCCTCTATAAAATTCTCTTTTTTGGGTCCAATACTCAATATAACCACCTTTGAGCTACCTAGGATGTTTCTACACACCCCTTTAGACTCAGATGAAATAATACCTAATTTCTGAAAGTATTCCTGACCCCTGGGACAAATTTAGGACCTCCCTAGGTTCTCCAAGTACGTTTCTGATACATCACTTATCACACTATTGTAAAAATTCGTTGAAGAGTACCTATTACAATACCTAGTAATACCCACTCAATAATAGTACTTATTATCATAATGATGTGCCTCTGATTCCCTCCGAAATGCAATTTCTTAAGGATAGGGTCTGTATTCAGTTTTGTTTTTATTTTTTTCATCAACACCAGAACAGAGCCTGACACATGCAAATGTTTATTTAACGAATGAATGGATGAATGAGTGAGTGCTGTTGGCCACCACTGTGTTTGGCAAAGTTAAAAGAAGGAAGGAACCTATAACCAATTCTTATAAGTTGAATTGTATGTCCCCAAATTTCATATAACCCTCAATGACTATAAATTTGACCTTATTTGGAAATAAGGTGTTTGCACATGCTCAGGTTAAGATGAGGTCATCAGAGTGCACCCTAATCCAATGTGATTGGTAGCCTCATATAATAGAGAAATTTAGACACAGAAATATATATATATGCAGCTAAAATACCATGTAAAGATTGGAATTGTGCTGCCACAAGCCAAGGAACTACTGGAAGTTAAGAGAAAGGCCTGGAACAGATTCTTTCTTAGGCACTGCTGACACCTTGATTTTGGACATCTGGCCTCTAGAACTGTGAGAGAGTAAATTCCTATTGTTCTAAGTCTCCCAATTTGTGGTACTTTTTTTTTTGAGACAGAGTTTCGCTCTTGTTACCCAGGCTGGAGTGCAATGGAGCGATCTCAGTTCACCACAACCTCCGCCTCCTGGGTTCAGGCAATTCTCCTGCCTCAGCCTCCTGAGTAGCTGGGACTACAGGCACGTGCCACCATGCCCAGCTAATTTTTTGTACTTTTAGTAGAGATGGGGTATCACCATGTTGACCAGGATGGTCTCGATCTCTTGACCTCGTGATCCACCCACCTCAGCCTCCCAAAGTGCTGGGATTACAGGCTTGAGCCGCTGCACCTGGCCAACTTTTTTACAGCAGTCCTAGAAAACTAATGCAGCAATAAAGTAAATTCAATACTCTAGAGAGCCAATCTGTCTGAATAGTCTTCGCTACTTCTGCTTCTGTTGCCACAAGAAGTATATATCAGCCTTTCTTTGGTTCTATAAGAATACTTTTTAAAATTATATATATGGGCTGGGCATGGTGGCTCACACCTGTAATCCCAGCACTTTAGGAGGCTGAGACAAGCGGATCATGAGGTCAGGAGTCCGTGATCAGCCTGGCCAACATAATGAAACCCCATCTCTACAAAAAATACAAAAAGTTAGCCGGGTGTGTTGGCAGATGCCTGTAATCCCAACTACTTGGGAGGCTGAGGCAGGAGAATCACTTGAACCCAGGAGGCGGAGGTTGCAGTGAGCTGAGATTGCACTCCAGCAAGGGCAACAGTGTCAGACTTTGTCTCAAAAAAAAAATTATGTATATGAATGATATGGTTTGGCTGTGTCCCCACTCAAATCTCATCTTGAATTGTAGTTCCTATAATCCACATGTTTTAGGAGGGACCCAGTGTGAGGTAATTTAATCAGGGGGCAGTTACCTTCATGCTGTTCTTGTGATAGTGAGTGCATTCTCACAAGATCTGGTGGTTTTGTGAGAGACTTTTCTCCCTTTTGATCAGCATTCCTCCCTGCTGCCTCCACGTGGAGTTGGCTTCCCCTTCCACTGTGGTCAGTTTCCTGAGGCCTCCCCAGCCATGCTGAACTGTGAGTCAATTAAACCTTTTTCCTTTATAAATTACCCAGTCTTGGGTGTGTCTTTGTTAGCAGCATGAGAACAGACTAATACAGTGAATTGGTACTGGGAGTGGGGTGCTGCTATAAGGATACCCAAAAAAGTGGAAGTGCCTTGGAACTGGGTAACAGGCAGAGGTTAGAATGGTTTGGAGGCTCAGAGGAAGACAGGAAAATGTGAGGAAGGCTTGGAGGGCTCAAAAGACAGAAAGATGTGGGGAAGTTTGGAACTTCCTGGAGACTTGTTGAATGGCTTTGACCAAAATGCTGATGGTGATATGGACAATGAAGTCCAAGCTGAGGTGGTCTCAGAGGGAGATGATCTTATTGGGAACTGGACTAAGGGTGACTCTTGCTATGTTTTAGCAAAAGGATTGGTGGCATTTTGCCCCTGCCCTAGAGATCTGTGGAACTTTGAACTTGAGAGAGATGATTTAGGGTGTCTGGTGGAAGAAATTTCTAAGCAGCGAAGCATTCAAGAGGTGACTTGGGTGCTGTTAAAAGTATTCAGTTTTATGTGTTCACAGATGTATGGTTTGGACTTGGAACTTATGTTTAAAAGGAAAGCAAAGCATAAAACTTTGGAAAATTTGCAGCCTGACAATGTTAAAAAAGAAAAACCGTGCTCGCTTCAGCAGCACATATACTAAAATTGGAACGATACAGAGAAGATTAGCATGGCCCCTAAAAAAAAAAAAAAAAAGAAAAAAGAAAAACCTATTTTTGAAGGAGAAGTTCAGGCCAGCTGCAGAAATTTGCCTAAGTAATATGGAGCCAAATAGTAATCCCCAAGACAATGGGGAAAATGTCTCCAGGGCGTGTCAGAGGTCTTCACAGGAGCCCCTCCCATCATAGACCCAGAGGCCTAGGAGGGAAAAATGGTTCTGTGGGACAGGCCTAGGGCCTTGCTGCTTTATGCAGCCTTGGAACTTGCTGCCCTGTTTCCCAGCTGTGGTTAAAGGGGGCCAAGGTACAGCTCAGGCCATGGCTTCACAGGGTGTAAGCCCCAAGCCCTGGCAGCTTCCACATGGTGTTCAGCCTGTGGGTACACAGAATTTAAGCATTGAGGTTTGGGAACCTCTGCCTAGATATCAGAAGATGTGTAGAAATGCCTGGATGTCCAAGCAGAAATTTGCTGTGGTGGTAGATCTCTCATGCAGAACTTCTGCTAGGACAGCGCAGAAGGGAAATGTGGGGTTGAAGCCCCACACAGAGTCCCCACTGGGGCACTGCCTAGTGGAGCTATGAGAAGAGGGCCACTGTCCTCCACACCCCAGAATGGTAGATCCACTTACAGCTTTCACTGTACACCTGGAAAAGCCACAGACACTCAAAACCAGCCCATGAAGGAAGCTGGGAGGTGGGGGCTGTGTCCTGCAAAGCCGCAGGAACATAGCTGTCTGAAGCTGTGGGAGCCCACCTCTTGCATTAGCATGACCTGGATGTGAGACATAGTCAAAGGAAATCATCTTGGAACTTTAAGGTTTAATGACTGCCCTATTGTATTTCAGACTCGTATGGGGCCTGTAGCCCCTTCATTTTGGTCAATTTCTTCCATTTGGAATGGGTGTATTTACCCAATGCCTGTAACTCCCTACATTATAGGAAGTAATTAATTTGCTTTTGATTTTACAGGCTCATAGGTACAAGGGACTTGCCTTGTCTCAGATGACTTTGGACTTGAACTTTTCAGTTAATACCTGAATGATCTAAGACTTTGGGGGATGGTCGGAAGGGCACGATTGTGCTTTAAAATGCGAGGGCATGAGATTTGGGAAGGGTCAGGCATGGAATAATATGGTTTGGCTCTGTCCTCACCTAAATCTCATCTTGGATTGTAGTTCCCATAATCCCCATGTGTTGTGGGAAGGACCCAGTGTGGGATAATTTTGTCACTGAGGCAATTACCCTCATGCAGTTCTCATGATAGTGAGTGAGTTCTCACGAGATCTGATGATGTTATAAGGGGCTTTTCCCCCTTTTGCTCAGTACTTCTCCTTGCTGCCTCCATGTGAAGAACATAATGCCTTCCTCTTCTACCATATTTGTCAGTTTACTAAAGCCCCTCCAGCCATGCTAAACTGTGAGTCAATTAAACATCTTTCCTTTATATAAATTACCCAGTCTTGGGTATGTTTTTATTTACAGTGTGAGGACAGGATAATATAATAAAAATCATGGGAAGAATCCCTTGAGCCCAAGAGTTAGAGAGCAGCCTGGGCAACATGGTGAAACCCCATCTCTGTAAAAGATCCAAAGAAATTAGCCAGGCCTGGTGCCTGTACCTGTAGTCCCAGCTACTAGAGAGGCTGAGGTAGAAGGATGCTCTAGCCAGGAGGTTGAGTCTTCAGTGAGCCAAGACCATGCCACTGCACTCCAGCCTGGGTGACAAAGTGAGACCCTGTCTCAAAAAAAAGAAAGAAATGAAGAAAGGCAGGAAGGAGAGAGAGAGAGAGAGAGAGAGAGAGAGAGAGAGAGAGAGAGAGAGAGAGAGAGAGACAGAGAGAGAGAGAGAGAGAGAGAGAGAGAGAAGATCCAGTGTTCACCGAAAGGTATTAAGCAAATATTGGTCATTTTTACTGATGGGGATAAGCCTTGGGTCATCACCATGCTTAGCCTCCCCTCACCTGAGCAGCAGATCTAGCATACAGAGCTGTGCCTTCACTTGGATTGCCTCATTCTTCAGGGCCCATTATTGTACTTTTTAAAATGCAGTGTTTTATATTTCCTTTTAGGCAATTTGAAAGTAAGCAGATTGTATCTAAAACATAAGAATTGTTTTCAAGCATCCAAATGAAACAGTGGGAGGTGGAGAGAATATTGATTTGTATAGAGTTAACTTATGTTTGGGGATTGTTCATTCAAAGAAAGATTTTTTTTTTAACAGACAGCTGTGTGGGGGTGTGTGTATAACTTTCATTTAAATATAACATGCTAATTTATTATAAAAGTGTTAGTACCATCAACTGCTCATTCCTCAAATACTGAAGGGTTTTCATGGCATACAGATTATTTGGGGGAGGGGGGTTACCATTTAATACTAGCTATGGTTTTTGAGCACCTACTATGTGCAAACTTATTTATAGATTATTAATCCTAGTAATCTTAATCATGCAGTTTGTTATTAATATTTAATAACTATTTAATAAGAATCTATGCCCAGTTTGCTGTTAAACAGAGACTCAGAAACAGAAATACATAGTCAAACCAGATGAAAAACCAATACTGTTTTTGGATCCAAAACTCTTTCCTTAACATATACCATCCCTCACTGACACACCCACTCCCATTCTTTTCAGAGTGAATATTATGTATAAATGTGGAAAGAAGAGATGGAGGCCATTGCTAGAAATCGTTTTTGAAATTCTAATTGGCTTCAACATCTTGCTGGTAAAAGAGTACAGGACTAAGAGGAAGAGAACAATTTGTATCTCAGCTTGCCATAAATTAGTTGATGATCTTGAACAAGTCACCCAGGCTTTCTTGGCCTGGCTAATTCATCTATAAAGTGAGGGGATTGAACTACATGATTTCTAAGTTTTCTATGCTATTTTAAAATTCTGTGATTGTGACTCTACCATGAGCTCAGAAATATATGAGTCCTGTTAAACATTCTTTTAACTGCCAACAGTGTTAGAAAAATCAATGTATCCTTGATTTCATGAGCACTCTTGATAAAAGTGTGTCAGATCTCTAAATTGAAAGCCTGTGTTGTCTCTTGACCTCATCTCGCAGAGGTGATTTTTGGCATGTGTTAACACAAATAATGAAGGAGTAGACAGTCTGTTCGGCTCATTCAATCCTGATATGTGATGTGAATGTTGGCTGAGTATCCCTCACACTGGAGTCTTTGGGGGATTGAATTTAAATGTGTTAAAGGGTGATTTTTTTTTTTTTATGAGACAGGGTCTTACTCTGTTGCCCAGGCTGGAGTGCAGTAGCATGGTCATAGCTCACTGTAATTATTTTTTTAAAGGTAAGTTATAAATAACTCTCTTATGAATACAAAATGAACATATAAAAAATTTCAACTTAACTCACTAATTAATGAAGGAACCTGTAAGATTTACATTGGATTAAAAGGAGGATCCAAAGAGCAGTTACACATACAGGCCATGATGCATCTTAAAATGAATTTGCTGAATATATGCAAAACTGACTTCTTCCACAGAGGGGCAGGGGAATGGAGATCAATTGTACTTTCACAGGACAGAATTCATTTGCATGTCCAAAGACAGGATTCATTTGCATTGTTATCAATTATCTGCAATTTACAGAGTTATAAAGTAGCTCAAGTATAGCAAAAATAGCTAAAATGATAGGCAGAGAATAACTTGAAGAGTGCGCTGGTCAAGAGATCTAGTAATCTTTTCAGCCATTTCAAGATCATTCAGAATTTTTGCAAACTCTTCAGAGAGGTCCTTCTTGTCTACCTATTCTAAAAAGGGTCTCTCTCTTTTCTTTCCTTTTTTTTTTAGGCAAGGTCTAACTTGTCATCCAGGCCATGGAGTGCAGTGGGGCGATCACTTGACCTCCTAGGCTCAGATGATCCTCTTATCTCAGCCTCTTGAGTAGCTGGGACCACCACCATGCACCAGCTATTTTTTAACCATTTTTTAGAGATGGAGGTCCCCCTATGTTGCCCAGGCTGGTCTCCAGCTCCTGCTCAAATGATTCTCTCACCTCAACCTTCCAAAGTGCTGGGATTATAGACATGAAACATTGTGCCTGTCTTAAAAGGGCCCCTTCTCATTCTCTATCATGGTTTTCTATTTACTTTAGTCATGGCACCAATTATGAACTGTGTTTTTGTTTGTTTATTTATTTATTGTCAGTCAGTCTATGCCTGCTCCCACCCTAAATGCAAACTCCAGGAAGGCAGAGTATTCATCATATCATTACTACTTCTACAATGCCTGGTGCTCAACTCTTAATGAGTTATTTCTTCTAGAGGCCCTGCTAACACCCAACTGATCACATTTAACACTACATTTTATCCACACATTGGTTATCAGTTTATTGCCACTCAGCTCCAAATTAATCTTTCATTGCTTCCTCTCTTATTAGAACGAGGCCCTGTAAGGATTTCATCTTTGCGACTGGCACCATGCTAAACGTAGAGAGCACTGAAGGGAAACTACAGGGGGAAGGGGGTTCTCTTCCTAGTTCTGGTGTCTTTCTGTTTTCTTTTTCTTGCACTTGTTTTGCCACTGACAAAGATGCCTTGGAGAGGGGCATGTGGTAGCACTCACTCATATCACGTTTCACTGGCATCTCTGCTAGTGGATCCAGTGAGTCTTGCAGACATCCCCACAGTTGGCTACCCAGCCTCAGCCCAACTGCATTCTGGGAAGGTGTTTCCTGTGACCACTCCCATCCATGTTTCCTGCTCTCTGGCCTCTACCTGGTGATGATAGACCTTGCCTGAGCTCAGGAAAATGCAGCCAACTTCTTCATTATCCAGTGGCTACAGCAATACCTTCTCCAATGAGGTGTGAATCCCACCTGAGAGAGGATTCCCAGGACTCCCACTTCCAAGTTTGTCCTTCATTGGGTATTCTCCCTCAGTCCTTTTGAGTATTCTTTAGAGTTCCCTCTACACCTTTAAAATTAATCACCTGTTATAATTGATCATTCTATTTATTATATATTTCCTGTTTGGTTTACTGTGTGGTTTCTGTCTCCTGATTGGACACTGATTGATACAGTCCATGAACTGACCCAG